CATACCCTCCAATGTTTTTTAACTCAGCTTGATAGCTTCTTAAAACACTGATTATGCTCAGCTCTTACAATTTGGAAAAAGGAAGGCTGTAGACTAGGAAAAGAGTAACACTGTGCAGAAAAAACATCAAGTCAAGATGTGGGCACATTGAAGAGGAGGAGGAAAGGTTTACACAAGACAAAAGGCCTTGAGTATTCCCACTATTTGGGAATAATAAATCATACGTAAATATCCTATATTGACAAAACCTGCATTAAAAATAAAACAAAAAACAACACATAACCCTTGAAGGACAATCACATAAAGATGCATTTCTTGAATTAGACAGGAAAATGCAGAAAAGGAAAATGAAGGAGGAGAAGCCATGAAAAGGTAACTGTAGATACTCAACATTGCCAAGCAGCAAACAGAGTAATATACCTTGTTTTCTCAGGAAAGAAAAAAAAGAACAAAAGAGAAGGCAGCAGTGGCAAGTCACATCAACTGCAATTAAGCAAGAACAAATACAGAAGACTCTGGGAACTCTGAAATACTCTGGGCCAGTTTAGAAAACATATTGATCCTGCAAGGACAATTATTACATGGAACTGTTTTCTTAAATAGCTTAATAGTCATTAAAACTTTAACTAAATCCAACTTCTTAAGCTAAAAAAAACATGATCCTATTGATCTCCACCAAGACAATCTCGGTATGTTTTTTTCCAGTCCACTTCAGACACAGCATGATCTCTGCCAGAACCTGCAGGGCAAGGCTCTGAACCCTGACACAAATGCCGCTCCATGATAACACCACTTAGTGTATCACAACATACAGTTTCATACCGACCTCTTAGACACAAACAGGAATTTACACCTGTAATTATGTTTCCATTCACCTGCAATAATGTTTCAAAAGTTTTCCCATGCTGTTTGGAAGGTGACTGTTCTTACCAGTACCTTTAAAAAGTACTAACATTTGGAAGCATAAAACAATTCTGGCTGGAATCTCTTCCCAACAGCTTGCTAATTTTACAGCATCTTCCATCTTGTTACTTTTGCAGGAGCTCAGCTGATCAAGGCAATGCAGTTTGCCACTTCAACTTATAAATAAAGATTACAGTCACACCGATTCGTCTTGCAAACAGTCTGACATTTTCAGATGTTCAAATATACCACAAGAGCATGGCTTAGGCACTGAAGAGCTTCCTCCTATAGTCACCTTCATGCTTCATTCAGAAGTCATGAGGACTGCAACTATCATATAGTAAAAACAGTCTACAGATTCTAGGACTTGTTGCAGTTACATTCATTCCACAGAATGGTTTAGGTTGGCAGGGACCTTGAAGCTCATCCAGTTCCAGCCCCTGCCATGGGCAGGGACACCTTCCACTAGACCAGGCTGCTCAAAGCCCTGTCCAACTTGGGCTTGAAGACTGCTAGGGATGATAGCTTTTTTCTTGTCTTCTTTTTAAGGTCTACATTAACTGCACAGACATATCTGCTAGCAATCCAGACTCCTACTGTGGTATAAATGCTGCAAACATTGTTAGCAGTACAGCTCTTATATGTTTCATAACATTGACAAAGCACACTTGCTTCCACAGCCAGCAAGAAAAAGAATGAGAACTTTCTCATTAAACTGAAAGGGATTCATACATGATTTTTCCAATTCAAATGAACTATAACAGCCCTAACTCCTACAGCAAAGAATCCATACCTCAAAAAAGTGAGTTCCATATAAATTCAGTATAATTTTCAGCACATTTTTAATCCATTTCGACCTCCGATGACAGCACCTGTGTCTGGTACGCAAGTGGAACAGTTTAACTTAATTCTGTGAAAGTTCAAATTGACTCACATGCCTAACAGCCACACTTAAATCCTGCTTCGTGCTGATTTAGTGTGCACCATTAAGTTTTAAAGCTAAGCCTGCATTAGAACCTAACAAAATCAATTTAATTACTTAAGCACATACAGTTTGATTTCATACTACTCCTATTAGTGATAGCACTCTAGCAAAAGGCACACTATCAGAAACAGCAAAACTTTTCCAGTATTGTCTCTGAAAAAAGCACAGTAAGAAAACACTCTGTTTTCTTCAGAAAACGCAGGATTTTTTAAAACACATGTTCAATTGTACAGTAAAAGTCTCTCCTTTGGCGACTCAGAAGCAAGCAGAACGTTCACCTGTGACATTACCACCATGAAAAGCACGAAAGACTAGCAGCCAACAAAACAAGTACTATTTCATAGAACCTTTTTTTTCCCTTCAATTTTGCCCTCTGAAACTTCAGATGAAACTTCCAGATGACAGTCTCCACTGCTGTGAGACTAGAGAAGCTTGCAAATTTACATATGAAATCAAGTGTAAATTACAGAGCAAACCAGGGTGAATTAAGGTCACATCAGCAGCCTTCCTTCTGAACTCTAATCCACATTAAGATTGTCCAACCTTAAACGCACAGAGCAAGCCAAGTGACACCAGATGCAGAATGAAAACACAAACAAGAAGGTTCTAAGTTCAGCTACAGCTGAAACAGCATCTCTAATAACCCAAGTTTTTGTAGCTCCTGCTTTAAATGTTGAAAATTAACTTCTGTCTACCTTGTATTAATGAATCCATCTGGTCCCATTAGCAAAGCCACCACTATCTCCATGAAAATGGGAGAAGAGAAGCACGTACATGTCTCCAAAGATCAGTGCACTACCAGAGCAGAGTGAGAAGCTGAGAAGCTGTCCACATTGCATAGGCTTTCAATCATCATGATCCTCACTGTCCTGTGTGTGAATAAAGTTTCCAGTTCTCCTCCACAGTAACACCAAGTTTGAGACGTACAGCAACATTAACTAGAGGAAATCTAATGAAACCCAAAGACAGGGAGCATTTTATATAAAGTGCACATACTTACAATTTAAAGAAAAACACAAGTCAACAGCATTGAACTGACACATGAATTTAGTGCATAACTACTACAAAGACCTCAGAAAATATATTTGATACTTTATTCTTAGTACTGATGTCAAGCAATGCCTCATACCTGCTAGACCAAGCTACCAGTGAACCATATTGACTCCAAATCAGAACAATCAAAAGGGGAAGAAAAGGAGATAACATAGTTTTTTCCTGAGCTTTTGGAAGAATTTCACAAAGTTACAGTTTATCCAAGAATCACAGAATGGTTTGGGTTGGAAAAGACCTTAAAGCTTGTCTCGTTCAAACCCCCTGCCATGGGCATGGACACCTTTCACTAGACCAGTTTGCTTCAAGCCCCGTCCAACCTGGCCTTGAACACTGCTAGGGATGAGGCAGCCACAGCTTCTCTGGCCACCCTGTGCTAGTGTCTCACCACCCTCAGAGTGAAGAATGTTTTTCTAATATCTCATCTAAACCTTCCCTCTGTCAGTTTAAAGCCATTTCCCCTTGTCTTCTTACCACATGCCCTGGTAAAAAAAGTATCTTTCTTATAAGCCCCCTTCAACTACTGAAAGGCCCCAATAAGGTTTCCCTGAAACCTTCTCCAGGTTGAACAACCTTAAATCTCTCTGCCTTTATTCACAGGAGAGGAATTCCATCCTTCTGATAATTTCTGTGGCCCTTCTTGGACTTGCTCTAACCAGTCCTTGTCCTTCTTGTGTTGGAGGCCTCAGAGCTGGATGCAGTACGCCAAAGCACAGTCTCATGAGAGCAGAATAGAGGTGGAGAATCACCTCCCTCAAACTGCTGATCACACTTAATTTTACAAGTCCTGGATATAACTGGCAAAGAAGGTAGGGCAATCTGGAGGATAAAATACAAGAGATCCCAACTCTAGCAAAAATGTACATATTACTCTACATCAGTTTCCTGAAGTGCCAAATAGAATTAGCATTTTTCTGTTTTCATAGTAGTCTTCATTTATTTTTTCCAAGGGTCATAGATGAAGAGGGATTTGAAAAATGTTATATTAAATAGAGTGCAATAGAATAAATGTTTGGGGTATTAAAAAAATACGTAAATAAAATGTATTTCATTTTGACCTGTACCATTTATAAGAAGAGGCGAGGTAGCAATATGGAGCAGCTTGCTGTTGAGGCACCAGAGGTTCTGCAGGTAAAAAGAAAACTGTCAGAAAATTACCCACTGGAATACACATTATTTCCCAAACCAGTGGCTTTTCCAGCAGCTGTACTACAACTATTCCCTCATCTAACCTCACATAACTACTCATGCTGGATAATGCAACAAGTATTTAAACCTGACAATATACCACGTCTGTTGTTACATTAAAGGCTACACTTCAATTTTTTACAAAAATTAAGAGGTTACATTAAAGTTATAGCACTAAAGCAGAGCACATCAGCTCAGGACAGTTTTATTACCAAGTAATTTCATAGAATCACAGAATGGTTTGGGTTGGAAAGAACCTGAGGATCATCTAGTTCCAACCCCCTGCCATGGGCAGGGATGCTTCATACTAGACCATGCCATCAAAGACTCTGTCCAACCCAGCCTTGGACACTGCCAGGGATGGAACCACTTCTCTGGGCAACGTGTGCCAGTGCCTCAGCACCCTGACAGTGAAGACCTTCTTCCTAACTTCAACTTCTCCTGTCATGTCTGCAGCAGGTGCGAACTGCAGTGCTGTAAAAATCATCAACAGTCAGTCTGTAGTAGTCCTCTACTGAAAAACCTGCAGCTCTTACAATAAAATAGCAAGTTCCTTATGTAGACAAGCTCAACAGCTCTCTATAATTTTCCAGCCATTACATTTTCTTGCGTTTTCCTTACTGAAAGTTCTCCTTTAGCAAGTAAGGGAAACGCAAGGGTCGCTGTGAAAAATCAGAGTAGTTGAAGTTTGCATGCTGCATAGCTTACATCTTTCACCTAGTAGGCCTCTCACTGTTGGCTCCAACAATCACTTTACATGGAGATTATCCTGAAAAGCATAGTAATTAGAAGGTTTTAATAGTTGTCGTGGTTTAAACCCAGTCAGGCAATTCGTTCACTCACTTCCCCCCACTTCTTGCCCTCCCCCTAGGGGAGTTTATAATGCTAAGGCCTAAGTAGTCTATTTACAGCAAGTTTATGCATTCTTAAAGCATATGCAGAACTTCCAAGACCAAATAGTCCACACTCTTCTTTCTTCCAGCTCTGCACAACAGGAAGACTGTATCAACCTGGAAGCTGCTGGGACTGCCTGTGCACATCCTCCTGGCATTCCCATCCAAGTGAGGCACATACCCTGTTCTCCTGATGCACAGTCAGACCCTGTTGGATGGCATGGGAAGTACAACAGAAGCACTGATGCAGCCACCTTATACCTCAATTCAATTCTGCCCCTGGTGAGTTAGAAAATCCTTGTTGGAAAGTACTCCACATGATATCAGGATCCACCTGCAACACACTGACAACCCCTTACTAGGACAACCCCTCACACACTGACAACCTCTTACTAGGACAACCCCTCACTTCACATCCATGACACAAATTTTTGATGTTAAAAGTGGTACAAGAGCAAGGGGGACATCTTTAAAGCTGGTTCATCCACTTGGAATTCTTTTTAAGGAAAAACAACTTAATGCCAAGAAGACAACTCCAGATATACTCAATTCACACAACCACTGACACCCAGGATGTGACTCATCATTAAGCTGGGCCCTACCGAAATAATTGTGAGTCTACAAAACTAAGAACAACTTGAGAAACACAGCAGATGAAAAGCAGTACTTGGAGATCTTAACATAAAAGTTGTAAGAAAACACTTTTTAAGCTGAATATCTGAGGTAACTCTCTCAAAGAACTCAGTATTGTTTTCATAACAATACAGTTAGAATATAAGAGCTTGCACCAAAGCTAAGAATAAGCTAAATTCAGCCTCAAATCAATACCCAAATAAGGGTGTGCATCAACCTAGCTTAAATTAAATGATTTAAAGCAATGCAATTTTCCCACGCTGGAAGTCTACATAACAGGCCCATATTATAAGGTGAGTTTAAACCAGTTTATAAAGGACTAAGGTGGAAGAAGACTTATTTATTTAAGTGAGCATAACTATTTCGTCAGGCAAGGAGAAAGGTGCCAAAACTAAGAAACTTCTCTACATGACCCCTGAGTAGGCAATGCAAAGTCTCTTCCAGAAGGATCATTCATGTCAGAAGCCTTGTTCAGTTGCTTTAAGTGTTGTCAAGTTACAAGGACTCGTGTGTACTCAGCCGAGAGAAGAAGCAGCTGTCAATGCTAGGTACTGAACCTGGATTCTAGAGTTCAGTGTATAAATTACTCCCAAGATCATATGTGTTCCCCATGCCTTCATGGGACAACCAAGTCCAGTTTTCAAGTGCATCTCAAACATATGGTGATGATATGACCCTGAAATACAACCAATCTTAAGAACCAAAGCAACTAAGACATAAAATAAGAAGATGGGCAGCAAATGCTGAGAAGCAGGAGAAGTCACAAAGCAGGAGGGGGAAAGTTTTCTTTCTAGTGGTCACCAGCAGAGACACAAAGTCAATCCAACACACACCTAACCATTGATAGACAACATTACAGCAGTTATTCATGAGCATCTCTGGAGTAAAGAGCTATGCACTTGGGTACCTATGAAGTACCTTACTACTCCCCCAAAGAGAATGCATGCCAAACACATCCTGTATCAACTAAGTAACAATTCACAATATGGTATTACAAACAATATTTGGCCTAATTTCAGTTACATTGCCATGGACCATTCCTCCTAGTCCAGCCCAAAGGATTTCCAAGACAGAAATCCTTTCTTTTTCCCAGACTAGCATCAGGGTATGCATATATTAAAGGGGAGGTATATGATTACATATGAACACATATAGTGGGAAAAGGTCACTGAGGAAGAAGGCAACAAAACAAATGAAAACAAAATAAGGTAAATCAAGCAAGTAATCTGTGTCCTCTCAGTGCGGACTGACAAGTATACAGATATACTAGGGTTAGATTCCTTTCTCCTCAAAGGCATAGCTGGAGGATTTAAATACAAAGTGGGGGAGACAGCACGTGAGTTTACAAAGGAAAGGAGTATGTGGAAATGAAAGAATATTAGGTTAGATCACAAGGAAAGTTTTAATGACAGGAAAATAAGATCAGGAAGGCAAGAAAACATGGTGAAGGGAAGAGTTACTGGAAGAAAACTGAAAGGGAGAAGGTAATAGGGGAATAATGATAGTGATGGAATATAACTTGAAAATAAGAAAGCATGGGAAAGCATCCCAGTAAGTAAAGTTCGCTCCTAGTGGCAAACTCACTGGGAAACAAATGAGGTGATTATTTGCAATGAAAAAGAAACAACAACAAAAGCAGGTCTAGTAATGTGGATGGAGGCAGTAAATGCACAAAGACAGACAGATAAAAGGTTACAGGAGGCACCTTCCATGGTAAGGCCACAACAGTAGGTGGCAACAAGAGGAGGAAGCCTGGTGCTGGTCCCTGACAGTGAGAGAAACCTGGAGAAAGTGACAAGGAGGAGCTGGGGGGAATATCCTCCAGCAGCCACAACGGTGCTGGGGACACAGTGAGTTTCTCTAGGTACAGCCAAACAGCTCCTGAACAGTCCCAAGCGTCACTAGAGCTCTGGGCATAGCTGGGATAGAAGAAGATGAAAGGAGGCAGCACAGAGAAGGACAGGGAGGACAGCAGGCAGGTGAACACCCTAAAACAGTGCCCGGTGAGGTCACGGACAAACGCTCATGTGCAGCATAGAGCAGGGCCTGGGATAGCTGGGGTGGGCAGTCCCGGGGCGCTGAGAAAGGGCTGGGGGCTGCGGGAAGCCGGGCCCGAGAGAGAAAGGCAGGAGCAGCCATCGAGGCGGCCCGACCATGCGGGTCCGCGGTCACGGGGAGGGCAGGGAGGCGGAAGGGAGGGCTGGGGCCGGGCCGGAGGGAGCGGGCAGGCCGGGGCAGCCGGCGGGGCGGACTCCCGCGCCCCAACGGGGGCGATGCATTCCGAGTGCGCAGTTAGCGGCCTCCTCGCTCCGGCCCTGCCCGCGGCTCCCGGAGCCGGATCCGCGAGCGGGGCGGACAAGAGCTCCCGCCGCCTCCCTGCCTCCGGAGCCAGGTGCGCGCCCGGGAGAAGAAAGGCGGGCGGGCGGCCCGGGCCCGGCCTCCCCTTGCCCAGCTCCCGCTCCCCACAGCGTGACTCAGTGCCGGTCCCCCTCCGCCAGGCCCGCGCGGCCTCGGCCCGGCAGAGCCGCCGCCTCCTCCCGCGCCCAGCACGGCCTCGCTGCGACACAACGCCGCGGCCTCCCCGCACTCACCAGCATCGCGCGTCCCGCAGAGTCAGGCCGCATCCGCCCGCCCCTTCCGCCTCCGCCAGGCCCGGATCTGCCGCCGCCGCCGCTGCTTCCTCCCCTTGCGCGGCGCGGAGAGCGCCGAGGCGCCACCCCTCGCTCCGCCCAGGCTCACGGCTCCGGGGGGAAGGTCTTGGGGGCTCTCGGGGTTCTGGGGCCGCAGCGGCGGGATGGGCCGCCCGCTCCCCCGGAGAGGAGTGATGGACGCTGTGGAGGGAGGGCGCTGGAGCGGCAGCGCCGCGGGGCCTTTCCCCGCCGGCAGGGCAGGGTGAATTGGGGTGACCTGGGCCCGGCCGCGTTCTCTGCTGCTCCGTCCCGCGGCCTCCCAGGAGGAGAGCTGCGGGGCCTGGCTGCGGCTACCCTAGGGCCTGCTGGGCGCAGTCTCCCGGGAGGGAGTGGAGGAGCAAGGGGGTCGGCCCGTTCACAGCCGGGGACCGTCAAGCGGCCATCTCCTCTCCCGTCCGGCCCCTGCCCTCGGGGCCGTTGCTGTGACCTCTCCCGAAGTTAGACCAGTGCCACAGGAGCTGTTGGGGTTTCTGTCAGGAGGACACCTTAATAGACGTGCTAAGACTTCCGTCCATCCATAACTAAGCAGCTGCTTATGAAAAATGTGAGTTTCTGGTGTGTCCTGGGCAGACTGAGCTACACCATACCCAGTCTTGGAGACTGAGTGGATGGCGCAGCTACATGTTAACAGCTTGTCCGTGTGGAGTAAGTGTTAAAACCAAGCTGCTCTTTGAATAACTCACATCAAGAGCCATTACCTCGAGGTGAACATTTAAAACTCTGATGGCGATTAAAGTGTGACTGTCATAAGGACCTCCTTGGAAATCTTGCTGTAATTGTGAATTTCAGCTTAAGAAGAAAACTTGGAAATCAACACGTGGAGAGAACACAGTAGAAATTGAAAGAAAGGAAGCTTTATTGTTCAGCTGTGAGCTAGTGGGAAGTCGTGTGAAGGTCTGACTGATGCAGGGATTAGCAATTTTACATGACCCTGTTTGCCATCTATGAACAATTTTAAGCAAAAATACCTAGTGTAGGTAAATTTAGAGTAATAAAATACGAACTTCCAAGCATATTTGCATCACTTTATGTAGGCTGCAAGTGGGACAGTTAATTTTTCCTTGTAACAGTATGAAATCGATGATACAAAATCATACCAAAATTAAGAAGACAGGTTTCAGGAAATTAATGTTTTGGAGTCAATCCTGTAATATGTATTCCTGAGGACTGTGGAATTAACATTGCTAGAGCTGTGCTGCCAAGGAAAAGAACGAGGTTTGTGTGTCCTTGGTACTATGTTGTGCTGAGAGGTTCTTTGCACTGTGCTCGCACAAACCATGCCGGTTTTCCCTGCCGAAAATTCAGGTTCTGATCCAGATTATACCAGGAGACGTTTAAAGCAACTCAAATGAGGTCATAAGAGGTTCTTAACCCTTTACATCAGTATAAACAGTTCAACGCAGAAAATGCAGTAGCTTCAGAGGAAAGGCAAGAGAAACAGGGGAAGCAATAGGAAGAAACAGATTTCTGCCCTCTGCAAAATGCTTCCCTTGCATCCTGTTTCCACCAGCTGTACACCAGTTTTGAAAATTGGCCTTCTCAAAGCTAATGGGCCTTAGTCATGTAAGTGCTTGAAAAATTATTTCCCTGTATAGTAGCGCCTTAGTACTACTGCACAGCCTACTGAAGTGGACACAAGCGAAGTCATTGACACAGCTGTTCTAATGAAACAGTGCTGACTAAGCACCCAAGAAGCACTGTCTGAGGAACTAGTTTATTGTGCAGCAGGGACACTGTGTCATCCTGCTGGGTGGTGTTGCAATGCTTATATTAATTTTGCACATGTAGACATACTTTGCAAATACCATTCCAAGGCATGACTAAATTTCTGGCTTGCTAAGGTTCATGAGTTGTCCTAGAGGAGGGTTTGTGTTAGTCATGCTGGGTGCTGCATCAGCATGGCCAGTTCTGCGTGGTCTGTTAAAGACTTGGGAGAGTGAGGGCAAACAAAATAGTCTGTGAGAGACAGCAACCAAATGCTAAGGAGGGTGGACTGATTGTAAAAAGTAAGGACTCATTTTTCGGTATTGGAAATAATATGCTACATTTTACAGCAGTTATATTTACACAGAGGTAAAGCTATCGTTGTTCTAAAATCCTCAAACAATAGAGCCGTGGGTAAGCAAGTAAACTAGAAGAGAAATGACAGGAAGGGAAAAAAATATGGGGGTAAGGAAGGTCTGCATTAGCATCATCTTGCACTAGACTGGTTTTTTTTTGCGTTAATGATTAATTGCAGTACAAGCTTGAGACTGACAGTTTGGAGTGTTAAAGGTTTGAGGTTTTTTCCCCCCCTGGAATTACACGATGATTTACACAGACTTTAGAGAGGTGAGGCACAGTTCTCTGATTTTATTTGGTGATAGCTTCATTAGCACTCTGAAAAGGTAGGCCTCACTAGACAATTGAGACATGGTGCTTAACATGGCTCATTCGTACACCCATTGAAAGGATTCCACTATCAGGATAAGCACGGAGAGTTATGAGAATTGAATTCCAAAATAAATATTACCAAATTACCCATAGCAGGATGACTAATGCATTTTAAAGTATCCAATGGAATCGATGTACTTTGTATGAAAGGAGAGAAGCTTCTCCTAGAGATTGGGGCAGCCAAAATTTCAAGGACAGACTTCATGAGAGAAATCCACTCTGTTTTTGCTGAAGTGAGTTTGTAGTGCTGCTGAGAG